CTCCTTCCCTCCTCGTGTCTTTGCCGCGGCGCTCTAGGGCTCCGGAGCCGACATGGGCGCCGCCGCGTGGGCAAGGCCGCCCCTGCCGTTGCATGTGTCTCTTCTGCTGCTGCTGCTTCTGCAGCTCCCGGGGCTGCCCGCGGTCTCCTGGGACCCGGCCGGTTACCTGCTCTACTGCCCCTGCATGGGTAAGGCCTCCCGAGCCCTGTGCTCGAATGGAGAAACGGAGGCCAGGAGAGAAGCCCAGAAACTACTGAACAAATCCAGGGAAGATCGCTAGAGTGAGGCAGGGCCTGCTTTTCTCCTCTGTGCCGTAACTGCAAGGGCACTGAGGGGCCAACCTTCCATTTGATGGATAAGAAAACTAAGGCTGGGAGAGATTTTGCGACTTGCTGGAGAGCTAGGCCAGCCTGGAGCCCAGTAAATGGAAATAGGCAGAACCTGGTGTCACTGACCCACGCTAGATCCAGGTGATTCGTTCATTCATTCGACAACTGTTTATGGGGTCCCTTTGTGTGTCATATCCTTCTCCGTGCTGGGAATGTAGTGGTGAATAAGAAACCCACTCCCTTGTAGAGCCTTTGTTTTAGGTGAAAAAAAGCAAACAATAAAAGATATACGTTCAAAGTAAGTACATAATTATTTTAAAAGAAAAAAAAAACTGTAGGAAGAGATCGGGTAAGATAGAATATAAAGGCCAGTTGAGGGGTGCCATCTAAATGGAGCAGCAGATTCCTTGTAAAAGTCATTAGTGAAACTCTCCTGGCCATGGCCTGCAGGGCCCTACATGATTTGGTTACCTGCTGGTCATCTCCACAACTTCCCTTTCCCTGGCCCTCCTCGTGGCAGCCAGACTTGCCTCCTTTCTGTTCTTCACACACTCAGGTCTATGTCCTACTCCCTCTTCCTGGAACACCCTGTCCTTTACCTCTGTCCTAACCATTCTTCAGGTCTGAGTGTAAATGTCACCAGAGAGGACTCCGCTGACCTATGCAAGCAATCTCTTTACCATTCCCCATCACCATTATTTTCCTGATTGTTATCACAATTTACCAGTATATATTTGTTATACATATTTAGCGCTTCACCAGCTGGACTATAAGTGCCAAGACCTTCGAGACCTTGTCTTTGTTTACTCCCATATCGTAGCACCTAGCATAGATCCTGGCACAATGTGATCTCTCAATATTTGGGAATGTATAAATGGATGTTGTGCTGGGGATGATGATAAAAATAATTCAGTAGGGTCCTTGCACCTGAGGCATTTGTAGGCTGAGAAAATAGCCAGTATGAAAAGCCGGGAAGTGAGAAAAGATGTTTGAGGAAAAGTAACTCATAGGCAAAGTGGAAGGCAGAGAAGGGAGAATGAGTACAGATGGTGTTGATGAAAGACTTTTTAGGGAGTGAGGCATTGGAGTGGCACCTTCATGTGCAGGTGATTGGAGATAGAGGTGAAAGAGCTCTATCTCCTGGCTCAGGCAACAGCAAGAAAAAAGATGGCAGATGGAGTAGAAATTGTAGAAAAGGTTGAGGAGACAGAAACCTGGAGTGGCTGAGGCAGGAGGAGCAGCCCTTGAATGTCAGGTCCACGAGTCCAGACTTGCTCTCATGTTACCAGCTGTTCTAGCTCTCACTGGTGTCCCAGCCCTCCCCATACCTGGATCCACATTTCCTAGCCCTTTATGGCCCATTCCCATGATGCCCCAGGCCTCACCTCATCCCCACTGTACCATTTCCAGGGCGCTTTGGGAACCAGGCTGATCATTTCTTGGGCTCCCTGGCATTTGCAAAGCTGCTAAATCGTACCTTGGCTGTACCTCCGTGGATTGAGTACCAGCACCACAAACCTCCCTTCACCAACGTGAGTACTTCCCACTGACCTTGGCCCTTGTCCACCCTTCTGCAGTCTTGCTAACTTCTGCTTGACCTCCAGGTCCTTCTCATCCTTACCTCCCACTCCTCTAAACTTGTCCCGCTCCCTACCCAGATCTGCCTTCCTTGGAATAACAATGGCTAGCATTTATCCAGCACCTGCTATGTGCTGGGACTGTTCTGAGCACTCCATAAGGATTAGCTCATTTCTTCCGCATCTCATCCTTATGAGGAAACTGGGGTTTAGAGAGGTTAGGTAACTTGCTCAGGATCACACAGCTTATGGGTAATAGAGCTGGAATGCAAGCCCATGATTGTCTTAACTACAGAGCCTGTGACTTGACCATAAAACCTCTACTTCCAGTGCTGATTGATCCCCACCTCCTGTGCATTCCATCAGTCAATAGTTGATGGATGCTATTATTTTTGGGTTTTTTTTTTTTGAGACAGGGTCTCATTATATAGTTCAGGCTAGCCTCTAGTAATCCTCCTACCTCATCCTCCCAAGTGCTGGGATTACAGGCATGTGCCACCATGCCCAGCTATTATCAGTTTTAAAGGAGAAACTAATGCACAGGTTAGTTAATAATATGTCCACAGCCACAAATCCAGGCAGTACTGCTCCAGAACTGCTTCTCCTCCCATCAAGGGGCTCCCTTGGCATGGTATGCTCAGCATCTTTTTTTTTTTTTTTTTTTTTTTGTACCAGGAATCAAACTCAGGACCTTGTGCTTTCCAGGCAGGTGCTGCTGAACTGTATCCCTGGCCTAGCATCTTCTAATTCCTAGTTTATTTTTTGTATTTTACAATAACCCTGTGTCTGTTTTTCTTCACACTATATCCCCAGGAATAGCAGTAGGAACTTAATTAATATTTAATGAACTTGACTTGAAAATGTTTGAGTACACATAAGTTATACTTAGTATGTACAAAACATTGCATTTCATTCCTATAGCCTTTTATTTTCTCCTTTGGATATCTGTATTTACAGAAGCTATTTACTTATTTATTGTTTTGCAGTTCTAGGGATCAAATCCAGGGCCTCATGCATACTGGGCAAGAGCTCTATCACTGAACTACCACTGAGCTACCACTGCAGCCCTAGACAGGTTATTAACAGAAGTGAAAAGCCAGAATAGCTGAGACCTAGCCTAGTTTGGCCACCTACTAATTCAGTAACTTGGGCAAAGTACTTGACCTTTTTGTACCTCAAGTTTCTTCATCTCTAAAGTAGCTTGATAATGATTGTTGCTCCTTCCCATGGTGAGGATTGAATTAATGATAGTACTCATGCCTTAAATGTTATTGTATTCCACCCACTGAGAATCAGCTGAACTCCTCAATGTAAAGAGCTAGTACACAGGAAGTCCTCCATTCCTGGGATACATCAGTGCTCCGGTTTTTTTCACTCACTGTTAATAGTGTAGTCATTGACCATCCATCTCCCTCTGACTTACTTGCTTTCTACCTCCTTGCTCTCTCAGCCAATTGTCATACTGAGTCTGCACTTCTTGCTTTCTGTGGGTTACTCAACCTGCCCCAACTGGGCTCCCCTTCCCTACTGTGACTGTTCTCACTGAGGTCAGCAGGAACCTCAGAATTGCCAAATCCAGGGTTCATTTTGCAGTCTTCAACTCACCTGACCTCCCAATTGCACCTGACCCCATGAGCCTCACTCCTTCCCGAACATTTCTACTCCCCTGGCTTCCAGGACGTATCGTTTCTGCTGCGGCCTTGAACTCTGTTTTCCTCTTTGTGCTGTAATGGCTCTCTTTCTCTCACTTATTGTTTGGATGTTAGTGTGTGTCCTCTTTCTGCTTGCTTGTTAGCTCTGTGGCCTCAGATGAGTCATCTAGATTCTGTATGCCTGGGTTTCTCCCTAAGTAAACTGGGGATGGTTATATTCCTGCCTCTTAGAACTAAATGAGCAAATGCTTGTAAAGTGATGAGTACAGCATCTGGCACTGTGTCAGCACTCAATAAATAGTAGCTACTATTACCATTACTTGCTTTGCTATAAATTTCTGTTGGCTCTTGTGGCTTTCACTATTCTTCATGTCTCAAATTTATCTGTGACTCAGACTCCTGTCAGACTATGTTTCTGATTCCTAAACTCTTGAGTCTGCTTGGATAGCCTATAGGTATCTCAACTTCACAAAGTCAGATCTGAATTTGGCATCTTTCCTCTCAAAACTCGTGTAAATATCTATAACCCCAGCCTCAGTTTATATCACCTCCATTCACATGGGTGCCAAGCCAGGAATGTAGAGATCCCTTCCATACACTTTAGCTTCTGTTTCACCTTCCTTCTACCTTTCTGAACCACTGCATTTCTCACTTAAATGTGTGAGAAATGCCCAATAAATACATATTGAATGCACACTTGCATAAGTAAAGTAGCCTCCTTTGCTAATCATAGTATCACTACCATCTACTCTGCTACCAGAGTGATCTTTCAAAAAAGACAAAACTTGCCTGGTGTAGTGGTGGTTCACATGTATAATCCCAGCCTGGGAGGCTTAGGTGGAACAATCAAAAGCTGAAGCACAGCCTGGGTAACTCAGTAAGATGCTGTCTCATAATTTAAAAAGGGCAGGGCTATAGCTCAGTGCAAAGGCCCTGGGTTCAACCCCCAGTAGCAAGAAAGAAAGCGGGGGGGGGGGGGGGGGTGGGAGGAAGGAAAGAAGGGAGGGAGGGTGAAAGGAAGGGGGGGAGGGAGAGAAGAAGGAAGGAAGGAGGACAAGAAAGAAAAAGAAAGAAGAAAAGCAAGAGGGGAGGGAAACGGAGGGGCAAATCATGTACTTAAAGTCCTTTAGCTATAATACCCCAGTGCTAATAGTGAAGGAGCTCTAAGTCTGATTGTAAGAGCATCAGTAGCCCATGTTGGAAGGGTGCTGTAGTTAAATCATTTGGGAATACAGTATTCTCAGTTCTCCATCATCCCAAATTCACAGATTCGTAATTCACATGAGCATGTTAAAGTCCCTGGAAAAAAATCCTGCTGCAGTAAAGAAAGCACCTTAAAACAGCATTTCCTAGACTTCTTCAGCCTTGGAGCCCTTTTATTGCAGAACCTTTTATCCACTTGAACTGGTAGGACCTGGAGGATGAAATCTGAATGTTACGCCGTGGTGTTTTGAGAATTTTTTTAAAATCTAAAGAAATGCAAAGATGAATACAACCACCATTCATGTACCCAATGGTCATTGTTAGTGATTTTTGCCTTATCCTTTCTTGTTGCTAATAAAAGAAAAACAGCATTACAATTACAGTTGATAAAAGAGAGTTTCTCCTGTCCCCTGTGGCTAATCCTAGTATCTCTTGCCACTCCCAGAGCAGCCCCTCCTATAGATTTAATGTATTTGTTATGAGTCCTTCCACATTCTCTCCTATACCTCATTTGTGGCACTGAGCATCCCTGTACTTATCTCCTGCTGCAAAGTGCACAACCCTCAGTAGGGTAAATATCTACCAGTGGAAAGAGCATTTTAATTGTGTGTATGTGTGTGTAGTTTTTGTTTGTTAGGTTTTTTTTGGGCGGGGGAGTGGTGACAGGGAATTGAACTCAGGACCTTGTGCTTGCCAGGCAGGAACTTTGCCACTGAGCTGTATCCCTAGCCCATGTGTGTGGTTTTTTGAGACAGAGCTTCACTATATAATCCAGGCTGGCCTTGAACTCATAGCAATCCTCCTGCCTCAGCCTCCCTAGTGCCAAAATTACAGTTGTGTGCCACCACACCCAGCTATTTTGTTTTTTGGAGTTTTTTTTGTGTGTGTGTGTCTTTTTGAGACAGTGTCTTGCTGTGCAGTTCAGGCTGGCCTTGAGCTCTCCTTGTAGCCCAGGCTGGTCTCGAACTCACAATGATCCTCCTGCCTCAGCCTCCCGAGTGCTGGGATTACAGTGTGCACCGCCATGCCTGCATCTGGCTATTTTAATTGTATTAATATGGACAGATTGCATCCCAAGTGGTTGCTCCAAAGTGCACACTTCTACTTCCAGCCACATATAAGAGTGTCCATTTTCGCACATCCTTACCAAGAGTTAGCTTTTAAATTTTTGTTGGTCTCATGAATGAGAAGTGATGCTTTGTGATAACTGTAATTTGCTTTTCGTAATTACTGGTGAGGTTGTACATCGTTTGAGTATACTGGTTATTTAGGTTTTCTTAGCTGTGAGTCGTTCACCCTTATCTTTTGCCCATTATTTGTCTTTTCTTAAGAGATCAGCAGTGGTTTTTGAACACAAGAGCTACTACCATTTGTTCTTTGGTTTGCAGATATCTTGTCTCAATTTGCTCTGACCTAATATTGGTACCAGGTTTCTTTTGGTTTTTGGTTTCTGTAGTGCTAGGAATAGAACCTAGGGCTTCACACACACTATGCAAGCACTCTACCACTGAGCTACATCCCCAGCCCTTTTTATTTTTTATTTTGAGATGGCCTCACTAAGTTGCACATACAGGCCTCAAACTCGTGACCCTCCTCCCTCAGCCTCCTGAGTAGCTAGAATTATAGGCATGCACCACCAAGCATGGCTTGCTTTGGTGTCTTCTAACAAAAGTTTTTCATTGTCATGTGGTTTGAGCTGTGTGGGTCATGGAGTGTATAGTTTTCATAAATGTATCTAAAACTGGGATGCTGAGGAGGGCCCTCTGCCCCTCCTTCTCCTGTAGCTGCATGTGTCCTACAAGAAGTACTTCAAGCTGGAGCCCCTCCAGGCCTACCATCGGGTCATCAGCCTGGAGGACTTCATGGAGAAGCTGGCACCTACCCACTGGCCTCCTGAGAAGCGGGTGGCATACTGCTTTGAGGTAGCAGCTCAGCGAAGCCCCGATAAGAAGACATGCCCCATGAAGGTAGGTCCTGTGGGTCTGAGCACCCTTTCTGTCTGTTCCATGTCCACTAGGTCCCTGAGATTATAAGGTGGCCATATGTGGGAAAAGGCACCAGAAAGACTTGGAGCAGGAAGATGGAGATTTGCATCTACTCCTGACATTTTTCAGCTGTGCCACCTTGGGCAGACTTTGCTTCTCTGAGCCTTTATTACTGCACAAAATAGAGATGCCAGTCTTTGCTCCATCTTGCTCAGAAACCATCATGAAGGCCAAGTGTAAGAGTGCTTGTAAACTAAAATACCACACCAGTAATAATAACTAGTACTCCATAGAATTGCCATATGTCAGGTACCACGCTAAGAGCATTACATATACTAACTCACTTAACTGCTCCTCAGACTGTTCCTTGGGGAAAGTACTAATCACTTCCCCATTGTATGTCACAGACACAAGTACGGCAGAGAGATTGAAACTGTTTCCCAAGGTCACACAGCACACACAATAGACCTGGGATTCAGCCCTAGGTAATTTGGTTTCCTCCTCCACCCACTTACCTCCAGTACTTTTCTGCCTCTCAGCAGGTAGATGAGAAGCTGTTTTATTTCATTAGAAGTTTGTGAATTTCTGGCCCTTTGGGAATAAGACAGTCCTCAAATATGTCTACAGATTGGAGAAGGTGGCTACAAGAGTCATGACATATGAGACAGGAGACCTAGCGTGCAGCCCCAACGTTGCTGTGTGACTTTCTGGATGTGTCTTACCCTCTGTGAACTTTGGTTTCCATTTTTAAAATAAGGGTGCTGGATTAGCCAGTTTGAAAGTCTCTTGACACTCACATCCATGTTTCCAAACCCAAGGTCTGTTCTTTCTAGGACCCAGCAGGGCAGCAGGGTAGGTGGGACATTCGAGTGAGCAGGAAACCCTCAGACACAGGTGAACATCTGGAAACTAGAACGGACGCCAAGCCTGAGTCCTCTGCCCTCTTCCAGGGGCCACTGAAGAGGGTGTTGCAGCCAGAGCCGACTGTTCCTTGCCTCCCTCTCCAGAAGGCTTTCTCTCATCCTCAGTAAGGTTTCTACAACCCTCTCTCTGCAGGAAGGAAACCCCTTTGGCCCGTTCTGGGATCAGTTTCATGTGAGTTTCAACAAGTCGGAGCTTTTTGCAGGCATTTCCTTCAGCGCCTCCTATAAAGAACAATGGATCCAGAGGTACTTGGAAAGGATAGCAGTGCTGGGTTCAGGGCGGGACACGGGACTCAGGGGCAGCCAGCACCTTCCTGACCCTTTCCCCCTCCACCCCACCCTGAGGTATGAGACCAAAGGTATGGTTTGCTCTGTCTGTTGAACTTGGGATCCTATGTGATCTGTTCCCTTCTCAGCGCCTGACACAGTGGAACCTTGACCTGCCACAGGGTTGAGCAAGAGTTTATTGGCTGATAAGGGATGTCATAAAAGAACATTGTGCAGTCACATGTGTCTCGATTTCCTCCTCTAGGCGTGAGAATCGCTCCCCTATTGCCTTCCTCTTAACATGAAAATTGGAAGCAGCTCCTAGAGCACAGCTTCAGGTGCAGACAGAGAAGTGATGTCATCCTCATAATTACTGGATGTACTTTATTAATTGTGTGCCAGTAAGCCCTATTAAAGAAATAGGTTAGCAGGGCATGGGCACAGGCTGCGAAGTATTTATAGAGTATATGTCATGTATAAGGTGCAGTACTCACAGGCCAAAGGTGACATACAAAAATGAGGAAGACCCAGTGCCTGTCTTCTAGAGCTGCTGCTAAGTCTCAGTGATGATAACTCACATGGTGTCCTTGCCATTGATGCAGAAGGTGGCAGGGAAGAGCTGGGCTCAGACTCAGGCTGGGTTAGGAGGTGAGAGGAGCCTGTGAATTGAGGTGTAGTCATAGCACTCAGCATTCAGGAGAAAAACAGGCACAAGCTCAGGAGTAAGTCCTGAGCTCAGTGAGGCACAGTGGTGCATGCCTGTAATTCCAGCACATGGGAGGTTGAGGCTAGAGGATCCCGCAAGTTTGAGGCCAGCATGGGTTAATAGTAAGGATTGCTGTAAGTTTGAGGCTACATAGTAAGTTCAGGGCCAGCCTGAATTACATAAAGAGACCCTATCTAAAAAAAAAAAAAAAAAAGATAGGCCTGACCTCTGATCCTGCAACTCCAACTCTCTGGCCCGTTTTCCCCTTGGTTTGATGGAAAGAACACTTGATGGGATCTGCCCTCTAGTGCATAGTGCTCACAGTCCATACTGAGAGTCCCTCAGAGTTAGTGGTCATTGTTATTCATGTGCCTATTGTTACTGATTTTCTTTTTTCTTCTTTTTTTTTTTGGTAGTGTTGAGGATTGAACCCAGGGCCTTGTGCACTTGTGCATGGTAGGCAAGTGCGTTATCACTGAGCTACACCCTCAGCCCTTTTATTTTGAGATTGGGTCTTGCTGAGTTGCCCATGGTGGTCTTGAAATTATGATCCTCCTGCCTTAGCCTTTTGAGTACCTGGAAGTATAAATGTGCACTACTATGCCCAGCTACAAAATACCCATTCTTCAGTCAGGTGTGGTGGCACACGCCTCCCAGCACTCAGGAGGCCGAGGCAGGAGTATCAATGCTAGTTCAAGACCAGCCCGGGCTACATAGAGAGTTTAAGGCCAGCCTGAACTACATAGCAAGATCCTATCTCCAAAAACAAAAACAAAATTTAAAAAAAAATTTATGTGTGTGTTTTTTTTGTTTATAGTGCTGGGCTTAAACCCAATACATTTGCTCTGAGCTATATCCCTAGCCTATTTTTTATCTTGAGAAAGTCTCACTAAATCACTAACAGCCTCCTAGAGTGCTAGAATTACAGGTGTGTACCACCATGCCCATTCTTAATCACTATGGATTAAATATCTGTTCCCTTAACGGCTGCCCATCTGTTCTGGGACTTGTCTTTAGAGCTAGGGCATAAACCCTTTAGGCTGCTCAGTCCTGGCAGGTCTAATCTCCATCATGTTGTGATCTGTCCCATCCCGTCCCATCCCCCTCAACCTGACAGCCCCCCCACCTCCCCAACCTGTTCGCTTCCAAACGACCCAGAGCCATTGCCAGAAGGCTCACTTGCCTGAAAGGGCAGGAGATTTGCCCCTGTTATTGGTGTGCCAGGACCAAAAAATGCCTCCAACTCTAAAAACATCTTCAAAAATTCATTTCAGAAAGCCAGAAATAAAAGCCAGGTGTGGCAGTACCCCTCTGTAACCCCAGCATTGGGGAGGTCAAGGCAGGATGATCATGAGTTAGAGGCCAGGGTGTATTACATAGTGAGAGCCTGTCTCAGTCAGTTAATCGATAAATCCATCCATCCACCCACCCATCCTAGTCAAAAAGAGAAGAGATGATGGTATGTGGATGCCTCAGTTGGGGAATGTTGCACACACATTTGTTTGTTGCCCCATGGTCTATCTTGAATTCACTGACTTGAAAAAACCTCTCTCCCTAGAGCTTGAGAAAACTTTATCTTAGCCAAATTTCTGAGAGAAGGCGACTAGTGAGGAAGACGGTCCCTGGAGGCAGTATAAAGGAGTTAGGGCCCCCAGGCATTGCCTCCAACATGATTTCAGAAGCACTTCATGTCAGGCTTACTGGACATTGGGGATACAGGCAAGCATAAAGCAAGTAGGGCACCTGCCCTGATGGAGCTCACAGTCTAAAGGAAGAGACAGTACGTACATTTTTACCTAGCACAGTTCTGGAACGTCATTAACTGCTCTGAAGCGCATAAGTAGGTGACATGTGATGAGCAGAGCTGAGACCCAAAGGATGAGATGGAGCCAGCTGTACCAAGAGCTGGAAGAGGTAGTTTGAGGTGGGGACATTATAGACAAAGGTCTTGGCATAGCAACAGCCTTGGTATGGTCAAGGCATAGAAAGGCCAGTGTGGAATGAGGAGGGAGAGAATGGTGAAATGTTGCTGTCATCCATTGCTACATAATAAATCATTGCAAAGCATAATAGCTTAGCAGTGATTTACTACTATCTCTCATGGTGGTGTGGATTGACTGGGTTTAACTTGACAAATGTTTTTGTTTTTATGTAATCTGAGTTGCCCAAAGTTCAAATCCAGGCTAATCATCTAATTTCATGGAATGAGTAGTCTTTGGACCATCTACCACAGATTTGGTGAAAAAAAATTTTTTAAATAAATGATTTAAATTTATTCATAATTCCATGACACCTCCAAAGCAAAATGTCCTTATTTTGGGCTTCTGTGTATCTAGATGAAAATTGGATTCTACAAGGAGATAAAAAGGGATTTTTTTCCCCAACAAGTAACTTCCAAAAATCCTTCCACTTTGCTAGTCCTGCATCTATAAATACCACTGTAGAGCTTTAATTCTATGAACATTTATTGCTCAGTTACTGTTGGAAAACTATGGCCCATCATGTTGAACTCTTCAGGTGAATAAAGATAGCAGGTATTTGAGATCACAGCTTATCTTTCTCCCAGGCTGCAGCCTCCCTAATTCCACATAAACAGGTGATCAATAATTGGTAGGGCTGAAACCATACTGAGGCTAAAGGATGAGAGGGAGCCAGCCCTGCTGAGAGCAGGAGAGAAAAGAAGCCCTTCATGGCAGGGATATCTCAAGCGAGGCCTGTCCGGTTCACGACCTGGTCCTCTGCACTCAGCACGTGTCCTCCACAGTCTCACGAATGTGCACTGGACGTGTGAGTGGATGCTGTGTATGGAGGAATCTTGGCAGCGTGGTGTAGCAGTGCCGAACTCCAGAGGTTCACTGGGTGCAGCAGCAGGAAAGGCAGCTTCTTCAGGACTCACCTAGGGTAGACAGTCAGGCCGCAGTTGGAGCTGATCAAGTTTTCTTTGTAACCAAGACCCCTACTCCGTATTTTCTGTCTGGATAACATTCTCTGCCCTCATTAAGAGCAAATGAACATGTCAGTCTTGGCTTCTTGCTGCCTATTGGGCCAGGACTAACAGTGTGCCCTGCGACAGTTCTGTTCTGGTAGTGGCCTGGGTAGAAGGGACAGACGGTTCAAATCTGTCTGATTCTCCAAGGATCAGCTGCAGGTTCTTCCCATGAGATCAGGGAGAACATAAATCCTGATCTTACGCTGATCATCCAACGCCCTGGAAGACCAGAAAGCTCTTGCTTTCCTTTCAGAGTTGGAGGCCATCTGAAGGGAGTTGAGCTTTAGGCCTGGTCTATAGTGGGTGCTCAGATAATACTAATTCCTTCCTCCTCCAACCCCTGACAATGTGACCTGGTCTTTCTAGTAAGGTCCCTGAATCCCTGAATCTCTCATTCATTAAAAATTATTATGGCAGCCAGGCATGGTGGCACATACCTGTAATCCCAGCACTCTGGAGGCTGAGGCAGGAGGATCACTGCAAGT